AGTTAATGATTAATTAAATCGCAAACTTATAAGAATAAATACAAATTCACGTCGGTCTGTAAGTTTTGCATTGCATACGTATAGATATGAACAAACAGAGTTTAGGCTACGAACAAAAAAGAGCATCACCAAAATAGAAACTAATAATTCAAACAAATAGCCGAATAAGAATAATTTAAGAGTAAAAATAAACAGACATAGCTACACATATTCAAGTTTAAAATAATGATACAGACCACCAGGCAGACCACAATATAAATAATCAGTTCTATTGTATTATTATTTAAAAAGGCAAAGATTTATGATATATGTAACGCGCTCACGTAAATACACATACACACACATAAACACACCACACAGACATATACACACATACACTATTCATAAATATACTTCTATACAAGCTAGATAACATACAGAAATATGAAACACAATTGTAACAGCAAAACATTAATCAACGTATTTAGCAACAACAAGAACTATTTAAAAATTAATTTTACAAAATTACAAGCAAGGTGATATTGTAGATTAATGAAAAAACGAACAAAGGCCTATACATCTGTGTACATAAGTGTGCGCGTGTGTGTTAGAGCTTTATCATTGTTGAAAATAATATTTCATTGAGTGATATAATATACACATTATAAGTGATAAAGTTTTTGAAAAAATTTTAAAAATTAGTTTAGAAAAAATTAATGTTTGACTGCTGAAAGTTATAATCAAAAAATAAATTGATAACAATATAAGAATTTAAACAATTTAAATTAAGCATATGTAATATAAGGACAGATGAAATTGAAAATAAATTTTATACAAAGCTAGATACGAAAAAACCCAAGGCTACCTATAAACAACAAAATTTTATATAAAAAAAACCTGAAAAAAATCGACAGCATTAAAAAATAAAATTATTAAATCAACATAAAAACAAATCAAAAAACAGTGTGGAAAAAAAAGCTTAAACAATTTGCAACTTTTTGACTTTAATAAAATTCCTAGCCACCTCGTCGTAATTACTGATACTGAAATATTCGGCGACGTTTCTAAAGAACCCTCTGTTGAAAGGGTTCATTAATCTACCCCTTGAATCGATCAAGTAGGAGTACCGCGCCCAGTTTGCCCGCTCGTTCGTCGTCATTCCACTCGTCAGATTAATAATCTTTGAGGGAAAAAGATAGATGAATTAATTATCTACGACTAGTATCTTCAGTGAAAATGATATATGGACTAATTATCTGTGGGTAGTTACAGTCAAACAGTATTTAGATATCGATGAATGAATGAATGAATGAATGAGGGATGAACGAATGAATGAATTAATGAATGAGGGAATGAACGAATGAATGAATGAATGAATAAATGAATGAATGAATGAATGAATGAATGAATGAATGAATGAATGAATGAATGAATGAATGAATGAATGAATGAATGAATGAATGAATGAATGAATGAATGAATGAATGAATGAATGAATGAATGAATGAATGAATGAATGAATGAATGAATGAATGAATGAATGAATGAATGAATGAATGAATGAATGAATGAATGAATGAATGAATGAATGAATGAATGAATGAATGAATGAATGAATGAATGAATGAATGAATGAATGAATGAATGAATGAATGAATGAATGAATGAATGAATGAATGAATGAATGAATGAATGAATGAATGAATGAATGAATGAATGAATGAATGAATGAATGAATGAATGAATGAATGAATGAATGAATGAATGAATGAATGAATGAATGAATGAATGAATGAATGAATGAATGAATGAATGAATGAATGAATGAATGAATGAATGAATGAATGGTCTTCAGTAGTGAGACATATATAGACACACAAACACACAGACGAGAACAGAGACAACTTTACTAACGGTGCAGACGAAGGCCAACGCCGAGACAGACGTAAGTAAGGTTAGCATGAATGTCCCAAACCAGATGAAATAATCAGCATGTCCAATTAAGAAGAGGTAACCGCAGAAAGTCAGTGATACGAAGCCGAGCAACAATGTTGTTAGTGTGAAGAAGAAAAACCAAGCCCTGTTTGTATTCGGTTGA